AAATCTTTCAGAATCTTTAGCTTTATGGTGTCTTACCTCCGGTTTCTATGAAAACATAATAGACTTATTTTTTTTTCAATGGTGTTCTNAATTTATTCTATTATCCAATGGATCATCCTCTGAAATATGATTTCACAAATATCATTCTCTAAAATATGCTTTCNNAACATAACATATTTNGATCATCTTTGGTATAAGCACGAGGACTCACAGTNTTNTCTCATGNNNATTATAGCANTATACTTTCTCGAGAAGTTCACTCCCGCGCAGGGCGCGGGTCTTGCCTAGTTACATTTAAACCAAAAGAAAAAGCTATGAGATTTGAGGTACACGGATGAGCATTCACAACTTTAACATTTATCATACATTCATAAAAGTAACTTCAGAGATTAAGCTTTTAACATATATTTTTTTTTTTTTGCTTTTAACATATTCACATTACAGACTTGAATACAACAAGTAGGAGTATATCTCAAAGAAAAGATTAACGAGCTGAAGGAGTATCACTGATGAAAGTTATGCTATGTCCGCCAGTGGAATTTGTTGAGCTTTCCTCTTGGCTACTTCTTTTACTTGAGTTGTATATTTCCAAACACTCATTTAGCTCATGAGCAACTCGAGTCATGTTCGGTCTCTCTGTGGAAGAAGGGTTAATGCATGACATTGCTAATTCAAGAGCTTTCCAAGATGAACCTGTGTCATAATCTTGATGGAGATTTGGATCCATGATACTTTCAATATCACCATTTGCGAGCATAGACTTGGCCCATTCTACTATGTAAGAATTTTCACCGGATTGGTCAATCACAGGTCGGCCAGTTATAATTTCCAATAACACAATCCCAAAGCTATAAACATCACTTTTCTCTGTTAACCAATGCTTTCGGTAGTATCTACAAGTAAAGCACACGAAGATTTTTAGATTAAACACGTAAGAAAACAAACATCTTTATAACTACAATGTAAAATAAACTAGAACTTACTCGGGATCAAGATATCCAAGAGTTCCAGCAACATCTGTTGATACATGAGTTTTACTTCCCACTAGAAAAGATCTCGAAAGTCCGAAATCAGCGAGTTTGGCTTCAAAATGTTGACCTAACAATATGTTGGTACTTTTCACATCTCTATGAACCATCGGAGGTTTACATCCAATATGTAAATACTCAATTCCTAGTACACATAGAAACATTTATATGTTAACTATCTATCATAAAAATGAAGTTTAAAAGGAACAAGAATATATAAAATAAAACCAAAAAATTATAACGATAGAAATCAACAAAATTTCTACAAACCTAGCGCGGTCTCGATGGCTCTTTTAAGTCTACTCGACCAGTTCAGAACAGAACCACCACGTTTTCCTGTAAAATTCACCATATGGTTACAAATCCTTGGAAAGTTTAAAACCCTTTGATTTAAGGAGGTAACTCAATTTGTTAAAATCATTTTACCCGAGAGATGTTCTTTTAGATTCCCATTTTCCATAAACTCGTAGATGAGAGCCAAGTCATTCCCTTCATCGCAATATCCGATGAGGCTTACTAAATTAACGTGGTGAACTCTTAGAAGTAGTTCGACCTAACAATTAAGAATATAAAAGGGTATGAATGATTAATGATGTTATTATATTTCAAAAATCTAATGAATTTTTTTTCTTGTAATTAAGTACCTCTGTTTTGAATTCTTTGTAGCCTTGAGTTGATGATTGAGAGAGAACTTTGACGGCTACTTGTTCATTATTTAGAAAACCCTGACAAACAACACCGAAGCCTCCTTTACCAAGAACAACTTGAAAGTTATTAGTCATTTCCTTGACTTCTAAATAACTAAATCTTCTATTTTTCATTTCGAGAGATGGACGTATAACTGCATAAAATAAAATGATATGGATCCATGAGATTTCGTACTTGCGATGTGGATCATATATTTCTTTTTTATTCTACCTTTGCAAGTTGATGATCTTCTCTTTCTGAAAATGAAGATGAGAACCAACACAGTGATGATAATGGCCACACAAAAAAGAGACACAACAATCGCCACAACC